ATCTTACTTCTATCATTGACAGTCCCTCTAGGTTGTGGGCTGCTTGCCTGTGTTCCTGAGAAGCATCTATGGTACCAGTCTATAGAGTGTGTTTTCTTTAGTGAATTATCGGTATGTTTACCGGTAATAAACTTGCACTGTTTTATGTATATGTTTGATTACATACAGCCTTGTGACAGTTTTCCTGCATGTCATAAGCATTTGAATATAAATTAAAATGTTAAAATCAAATCTGATATTGTTTTACCTTTTATTTGGTGTGTGGAAGGTGTGCGGAAGAGGGGGTAGTCTTATACGGCGAGTATATAACAAACTCTGTATTTTGAGTGGAAATGTTAGGGGGTCGTCTTATACGCCCAGTCGTCTTATACGCCGGCAAATACGGTAACAATAATCCAAGTTCTTCTTTGAAGGAAAAAGAAATGACTCAGAAACTAGCAGCAGCAGTGGTTTAAAATCTCCTCCCTTCTCTTTATTTTTTGGTAGAAGACTTATCTATTTCAGAATTTTCAAGTTCTAGAAATTGCTGTTCTGATTGTCTTTTAAATATGAGGATAATGTTAGCATGACAAAGTAGTAGTTTAAGGATCTTGAAGTAAAGTGGGTGTAAATGTAACATCATGGACTTGGGTCTGGCTTAGTTTTGAATTTGGGCTTAAAACTCACTGGTTCTGTGATCCTGGATAGATTAATCACTTCATTTCTCGTTTCTGTAAAATAGGGACAAATAACACTCCTACCTTGCAGAATATTGGTGAGAAGTGTATGATACTGAGCTACAGCAAAATCTCAATAAGTATTTGTTGGACCCTGTTAACATCACAAATTATATTCTGAAGTAATCATTTGTTCTCTGTTTTAAATTCTCTGTATTTAGCTGCTTCTTTATGTCATGAGGGAAGTAAAGGAAGATTAGTTCTTGAGAGTTTATAAATTCAAATTTGAAGGACATTTTTTTTCTTTGAGTTGTTTTTGGCTTAAAATTGCATTATGTACATTGCTTATATGTTAATTGCTTTCTGTGGCATTTTATAGCATTTATTACCGGCTTGTTAAACAATATTGGCACGCATGTTGACCCGATTCTACTGATTCACCGTATCAAGGAAGGAATGGAGATTCCCAATTTGAGAGATTCCTTGGTTAAAATTCTGCAAGACTACAATTTACAAGTAAGTATTCTTTTGTAGACAAATAAGTATACTGAGTGAGTTGACTGACTGAAGGATAAACATTTATAGGGTTTACTCAAATAATTCAATTTGATAGTTACAGTCTGTTTTGAACAGTTTACTTGGAAAATTGTTCAGATAGAGAAACTAGAAATATCACCCTTTGCCGAAACTGGTTTGGCTCAGTGGATAGAGCGTCGGCCTGCGGACTGAAAGGTCCCAGGTTCGATGCCGGTCAAGGGCATGTACCTGGGTTGCGGGCACATCCCCAGTAGGAGATGTGCAAGAGGCAGCTGATCGATGTTTCTCTCTCATCAATGTTTCTAACTCTCTATCTCTCTCCCCTCCTCTCTGTAAAAAATCAATAAAATATATTTTTTAAAAAAGAAAAGAAATATCACCCTTTATGGAAGCCATCTGATATTTAACCACCCCCAAGTTTCCTCTTATTGATGAACAGGTATTCTTACATTTGTGTGGTGAATACAGCATGGCACTGGGGAGGGAGTAGTTACCATGACCGTTAGATCAGACCACCCAAACCTTTTTTGAGTAGAATGAATATTATGTCCACTTGGGAGAATAAAAAAATATTTTTCAAAGACTTTGATAATTTCTTTGAAGCCACCTAGCAACCTATTGCCTGAAACATGTTAAATACAGGATTCTATTTAACCTTTTGTCTGTTTTCTAGACTAGTAACAATTTTATTATCTATAATAATTTAGAATTTGTTGTTTATTTTCATATAAAAATTTATATGCTAATTTCATAGCATCCTAATCTTTTCTTTAAAAGGACTCTATGATAATTAATATTTTTTAGAATGCTGGTAGCTTCCATAGAACTTAAAACTATTTAAAGCATATTTCTTTAACAATAAAGACTACACTTTGCCTACTTATTTTAAACTGAGTTTTTGTTATAATATGGTTGAAATTGCTTTCCTGGACACGTAGAGAATTTTTCAGGTAGAGCGGGAAGATAAGGTTGAGGTTGGGAGAAGAGAAGTGGTTATCTGGATAAATAAAGAGAGAAGGGGTTCATGATGAGGATTTGTGGGGCCTGTAGTCACTATGAAGGGTGCAAGTGGGGTGCCTGCTGAATTCAGGTGGTGGCCTCAGTCAGAAAAGAGGCAGGGTGAGCCCTGCCAGTGTGGCTCAGTGGGATGGGTGTCATACTGGGCACAAAAAGGTTGCTGGTTCGATGATTCCCAGTCAGGGCACATGCTCAGGTTTCAGGCTCAGTCCCCGGTAGGGGATGTGCAGGAGGCAGCCGATCGATGTTCTGTTCTTTCTCTCTTCCTCTCTCTCTAAAAATCAATAAAAATATTTAAAAGAAAAAAAGAGGCATGGTGAGAAGGAGAAAACATTGAGGAAGATTGATGTGGGAAATGTAAAGAAGTGACAGAGCTGGAGGGACAAGAGCCAGGGAGTGGGATATTGTTACATTAAGTTTCCAAAGGAGTCATTGTGAACATGTTCAAAAAGTGGGGTGAAGGTAGAGGTCATTGGAGTGGAATTAGTGAAGAAAATGTGAGAGCACACTGAGAAGGGGGAGCAGGGGGCTGTCAGCCAAGTTCCATCATTTTTAGTGATCGGGGAGGGTACTCTTGCAGCTACAGGTGACTACGAGAAGAGGTTTAAAAGGAGAAGAGGTTTCTTGAAGGTGGGATATGAGAAAACAAGGAGCCTCACTCAGGAGGGCTTGTGGGAAATCGGGGTCCTGGGAGAAAAATGGATTAAGACAAAGGGGTAGAGGGCCTGTTCTGCAAAAAAACTCCAAGATATACAGGTATTTATTTATTTGGAGGTTTGCAGATGACCCAATAGTACAAGGTATGCTAGTAACAAATTGATTGTACAAGCTACAACTGGTTGTCTTGAAAATGATGAAGACAAAGGATAAAGGTAATGTTAAATAAAACTTTTAGAAAAACTTAGAATTATGGAGGGAAATGTAAAATTAAGAAAACAAGTGGTAGAGAAGGATGTGGAAAGCAGTTGGCCCATTGATTTGAATAACCTTGAAAAAATGATGGAAAGTCCTATAAGGAAAATTAATGCCTGAAAGATGTTATTATACTTGGTAAACAATGCCCACAAATGTTTTTTGAGATGGGAACTGATGCCATTATGAAGTTGAGGAAAGAAAAGATTAGACAGTGGTTTACTTGGCTTGGTGAAACTCTAATATGAGATATAGATTACAAAGCAGAGATTAATAATGATGTTGTCGTATTGACCAAGTGGAGACATTTTCTAGATGACACAGTAAAGGAGTTCCAAACTGATTTTAATTTCTGAAAGTAATATCAGAGGCTACCCTACACAGAGAATAAAATAGGAAACTAAGATAAAACAGGAGGAAATAGGCAAGAAAGATTTTGCTGAGCAGGGAATGACTTGATCTTTGAAAGGCCAGTAGGCATCCTTTGGAAAACAAAGACTACCTTTGGGGGAGAGAGATGATGGGTCCTTAAAACTTCTTCTCAGCTTAACTTATGTAGCCTATAAATACTCTGAAAAATGTCACAAAATGTATTTGCAAATTCTGTAAAGTCTGAGAAGATATGGGGAAACAGCCAACAAAACCATAAAAAAAGAAAGTCCCTGTAGACCTAATTAAATTTTTAACATCTAAAGTCAATAAGAAATAAAAGTTCATTTGACCAAATGTCAAGGTCAATGATAAAGACTAAGATTTTAAGAATTCAAGTATAATAGATTTAAAAGATAGTAAAAATAGATGTAATCTATGTTGATAGGTATTTGCTTTGCTTAACATGTTCAACAGTATATAAACTAGAAATTAATTTTTCTAAACCAGAGAAGCTTTAGCTTTTTGGATACATGATAGACTAAATTGAATACTCCTTTATTGTTAAAAAAAGAATGTTAACTAGGATATTAAAAGATAATTTATTTCCATTTCATAGCTGATCCCAACAGATATGAACAGGTGCCAGGAAACACTGAGAGCAAACCCAAAGTAGAAAGGGGATGTTGCTATGGCAGCCCTCTGGAGTAGCAGACACAGCTTCTAGATTATGGGCTTCTTATACCTATGCTAGTGACCCAGTGCACGGATTCGTGCACAGTGAAAGGAAATTAATTAGAAGGTGGCTGGCAGGGCGGGACTTGGCGAGAAGGGCCAGACACACCCTGGAGTCAACCTCCCGTGGTCCCTCCCCAGCTCCAATCATGCACTGGTGGGGTCCCTCGGCCTCGCCTGTGCCCTCTCGCAATCCAGGACCCCTCAGGGGATAGTTATATATAAAAAGTAAAAGGCTAAGATTGTCCAAGAAGAATAAGGAAAGTAGATTTATCAGATATCAAAGCTTAATATGTGGAAATGTAAAATGGTATAACCACTACTTGACAGTTACTTAAAAAATTAAACATCTACTCCATGACATAGCAATTTCACTACCAACTGTTTAAAGATAAAAAGCAGGTCCACAAAAGATCTGTGCAAGAATGTTCTTTGTAGCTTTATCCTTAATAAAGTCTAGACTGCCAGGCCTCCCCTTATCCTGTATTATTCATGCAACAGACTTAACATATCCACCTAGCTCTTTCTGAAACATTTTACCAAATATACAGTAATTGACACTTTTCCCTAAAATTTTATTTGGGTATTCGAGGCTAAGGAGCTTTATATTATTTGCTTATAAATTTTCTTAAAGTTTACTTCATGAGTATTTCTTAGCTATCTTTCTTACTGTATTTGTTATTTTTTCTGCTTTAATGTCAAAGTTTTAATGTCTTTTTTAAAAATGAATCAGAAAAATTCAACCAGTGCCTCAGTTAATGTAGAAATAGTGTTACCATTGGTTATTTCCTGCTCACCGATCCTGGAAATGGCGGGTGTAAAACTTTAATCTGGACATCAGGTTTGTTTTCTTGAATATTAGCCTTCATGTAATTAGGGGAAAGCCCTCTGGCTGCATTCACCCAACGCCAGGGCTCTGTGGGGTTTGAGAGGAGCACCTGGTATTGCAGACGACTGGGGATGGAGGACCAAGTCGGTCACTCCCTCCTTCCCTTCCCTGGTGGCCTGAAAACAAGAAAGCAAAACGCTGTGACACGGAGCTGGACCGCAGTGAGGCGGCAATGTCATCATCACGTGGGTTTCCACAGCAGCGCATGGAACGTGCATAGAAGCACATTGGGAAGCCACAGGCACTGCACCAGACTCTGTCCTTCCGGCCTTGAGTGTCTCCCTCTTTGAAAAGCAATAAGTTCTTGTAAAAGTGTCATCTGGCTTGAAAACATTTCACACAGCCTCTCTTAATTCTAATAAAATACCTAAGAAAACTCAGAGAAGGGCGGAAATTCACACTGTCCAGCAGAATGGGTTTGAAAGGTGAGGCAGGTTGCCTCTTACCTGCTAAAAAGCAGGTGGGCAGTTCTGTCTTCCCAGCTCTGAAACAAAGTCACTACCAATCAAAACGGGCATTTGACCTCTGCTACCTGCATCCTCACTTCGGAGGCTGCTGAAGGCTTAACTCTGTAATTCCCCAGGCAGAGAGAGGGGAAATAAGGTAGCCTGTGACTAACAGGAAAAAATGCATAAGCAAAGAGGACAGCACTGGGAAGAAGGGAAGAAAGTGAGTCTTGTGACAGAATATGTAATATCTGTGGTTGGTTTTCAGTTGCCAGCCTTTTCAGAATCACCAAATTTGAGGATTAATATAATCAATTACTCTTACACATCACATTAATTGCTAAATGGTTTGCACCCTGAAGGGGGTTTAAGGACAGAGATCACATCTGTTTAATTTATTGCTCCATTTCTTCTGCCTAATAGATAGTAGAGACTCAGTACAGTGAAATATTTGTGCAGTAAGGAGATGGGTTTATGAAATAAATTATTTTGGAATAGCAGGTTTTCCATCCTGGGCAAAGACCAGGGGCTTGGAATGACCAAGTCACGCAGGGGCCAAACTCTGCCAGAGAGAGTCCGTATTGGGAACACCTATAAGACAACAGCAGGGGCAGTTAGTTAATAGAGGGCCTTCTGCGCCAGACTTTGGCTTGGTATTTGCCTTCACGAGCACTACAGGCACCGTAGGTTCATAAGAAAAATTGCCGTCACGACTGAGTGGAGGCTGGAAAGGTGGGTCTGGCAGTGGCCTAGAGGGAAGAGGGCACTGAGAGCAGGAGCCAGTGGGCGCCTCTTTGAAGTATTTTAAAGAAACCGATTTTCTGAATCCCCGGTAAGAGCCCTCTCCCCCAACTGTAGAGTCTTTTTAAGATGCCATTTCTTTCATAATGTGCGCCTTAGATTCTGCTTCGTGAAGGCTGCAAGAAGATTCTCGTGGCGGACTCTCTGTCTTTACTGAAGAAAATGCATCGAACTCAAATGAAAGGCATTCTGGTCGATGGTGGGTAAAATGAAGTGATCATGGTGGAACTGGATGCCTCCCTTGGGGAAGAGACAGAGCAGGAAACATTGTGTAACCCCACGTGTGTGTGCTTCCTTGCAGAGGAGAACATCTGTGAATCGTGCCTGTCCCCTATTCTTCCATCAGGTGAGATTTTTAGGAGGGGAAAAGAAATCCCCAAATATGTGTTCATAATGAGTAGAATTTTTATAAAATTATATAGCTTTCAGGATAATCAAGTTTAGAGAAGATTTTCAGCCCACAACTCTACTCATTTGCATGCTGATGGTGCCATTCTCAAATTGTGGAGTAAACTGGCCTCGCCTGACAGGCTTGTAAAACCACCATGCTGGTCTTACCCACCGAGGTTCTGATGCAGTAATTCCAGGGTATAACATAAGAATTTGCATTTCTAACAAGCTCCCAGGTGATGTTGATGCTACTGGTTCAGGAGCCATACTTTGAGATGCACTGCTCTAGACTAAAAGAAAATAAAATGAAGACTTACCATCAGGTGTTTAAGCTCCAAGGTTGAAGAACCATGTGTGTATGTGGGACATTTTCTTATAGGTAGCTTTCCCTTTCCTTTAAATTGTTTTTCTTCTGACCCATTCTATACTACAAAGCTACAATAATCAAAAAAGTGTGGCATTGGCATAAGGACAGATATATAGATCAGTGGAATAAAATAGAGATCCCAGAAATAAACTCTTGCTTATATGGTCAATTAGTCTGTGACAAAGAAAGCAAAAATATACAATGGGGTAAAGACAGTCTCTTGAATAAGTGATGGTGGGGGAAACTAACAAGCAAAACAATGAAATTGGACCATATATAAAAATAAACTCCATATGGATTAAAGGCTTAAAAGTGCTGATACCATAAAACTCCTAGAAGAAAACATAGGTAGCAAATTCCTTAACATCACTCTTAGCAATATCTTGTGGGATGTGTCTCCTCCAGCAAGAGCAACAAAAGAAAATATTAACAAATGGGACTATAGCAAACTGAATATTTTTGCACAGTGAAGGAAACTCCAACAAAATTAAAAGACAGCCTACTGAATTGGAGAAGATATTCGCAAATGATACATCCAATAAAGGGTTCATATCTAAAATATATAAGGAACTCATACAACTTAACACTAAGAAAACCAAACAATCTGATTAAAAATGGGCAGAGGTCCTGGCCAGTGTGGCTCAGTTGGTTGAGCATCTTTCCATGCACCAAAAGGTCACTGGTTCAATTCCTGGTCAGGCCACATGCCCACCTTGCAGGTTCGATCCCCATTCAGGGTGCATACAAGAGGTAACTGATCAGTGTTTCTCTCATATTGATATTTCTCTCTCCTCCCTTTGTCTCTATCTAAAATATCAATAAAAACATTTTTTAGCCCTGACCGGTTTGGCTCTGGATAGAGCGTCGGCCTGCGGACTGAAGGGTCCCAGGTTCGATTCCAGTACAAACATTTTTTAAATGGGCAAGAGACCTGAATAGACATTTCTCCCAAGAAGACATACAGATGGCCAACAGAAATAGGAAAAGATACTGAAAATCACTAATTATCAGGGAGATGTAAATTAAAACCACAATGGGATATCATCTCACATATGTCAGGATGGCTATCTTTAAATAATCAACAAATAACAAGTGTTGGCGAAGATGTGGAGAAAAGGGAACCCTTGTGCACTTTGGGGATTATAAATTGGTGCAGCCACTATGGAAAAAGAGTGGAGATTCCTCAAAAACATTAGAAATAGAGCTGCCAAATGACCCAGCAATTCCACTTCTCTGTATTGATCTGAAAAAAACAACAACAAAAAAAACATTAATTCAAAAAGATATATGCACCCCTATGTTCATTGCAGCATTATTGACAATAGCCAAGATATGGAAGCTACATGTCCATCAATAGATGAATAGATAATAGATGTATATATAATGCAATATGACTCAGCCATAAAAAGGAATGAAATCTTTCCATTTGTTACAACATGGATAATTAGAGGGTATTATGCTAAATGAAGTAAATCAGAAAGAAAGAAAAATGCCATATGATTTCACTTATATGTGGAGTCTTAAAAAACTCACACACACAAACAGATGAATGAACAAAACAGACAGATCTATACATATACAGAGAGAAAAAGCTGATGGTTGCCAAAGGGAAGGGGGATTGTAGGGTAGAGCAAAAAGAAAAAGACTGGTTTTAAAGCCTCTGACCTGCTTGTTGCATTGAGTCCTTCTCCTTTCCTGTCCTCTACCTCCAGATGCAGCCAAGCCCTTCAGTATGGTGGTCTTCCATTGCCGGCATATGTTCCACAAGGAGTGCCTGCCTGTGCCCAGCATGGTGAGTGGGCAGCGAGGCCACCATCAGCTAAAAAGAAATGGATGCAGTCAGAGGGACGTGCTCAACATTCGAGCCTGTCATTTTATGGCTCTGTGCGTTCTCAAAGTTACAATATAGTTTTATATCACATAAGAAAAATTAATTCATCTAATTCTCAAATGTAAAAATGTTTAGAATACTATACTGAACATTATAAAATCATTCATTTAAATGAATTTGTTCAGGTAAAACTGATGACTGTTGAGCTATAGAGCTATGGACACGTGAGATACAGTGAGAACCATTTTATGTCTTGTACAACTTTCTCAACCTGATTTCAGTACCATGACTCTGCTTTTTTTAGTGTCAAGTCATATTCCTCTGTCAGATTACATTTGTTTTGCTGTTCTAGATGGAATCCTATGTGAACCAGCAATAATATACAGGAAAAGGGAGTGGCATTTCATAGTGTCCCGCTGCCCCTGACTGATTCTCCCATAATACTTCTGAATATGAAAGTAGAAAGATAAGATATATATATATTTTTTTTTTTTTAATCTGTGTTTTTCATTACATTTTAGACCTCTCCAGCGCAGTTCTGCAACATCTGCAGTGCTAAGCACCGGGGACCAGGAAGTGCCATTTTGGAGATGAAAAAATAGCTATGTTCTGTTTGTCAGTCTCTTTCTCACCGCTCTTTTGAAGATGATTTTTTCAACAACAGAAGCATTTGTTGATACCAGTGCTGTTAAGAGTTTTGTACATGTTTATGCTATGCTCAAAAAAACTTTCATCTTCTCACTTGTCTACTAGAGTTTTCTCTTTGCATTTGCAGTTGATAAAGATGTTAGGTTTTTCCCCCCCATCCATGCCTTGAAATATTTGGGTCCATGGTTAATATTTCATCGTTTATTTGTTTAGCTCACTCTTTGTTTAGGAATGGAAACTAAAGTGTGGGCGTTGGAAATGAAGTTTTAGGTCCTAGTAAAACTGCCTCCAGCTGTCTGAGCATCGCCAGTGCGGCTGTCCAGCCAGCTCCTGCCACATTGGGCCTCGTTCTGCATGCTCTGCAATTCTTTCGTTCTGGATCTGGCTTTTTTTTATGTCATCCATTGTGGTTATTTTCTTAGTAGGTATTTAATGAAATGTTATGCAAATTGTCACTTATCCAGTGATGTCTGGATGACACGAGCAGGTGACATCAGGCAATGTCATATTGACTGATCACATGTTCTGTGTGTCCCAATAACTAGCAGAGTCTGGCCCTGGCAGGCACTGAGCATCTGTTAATTGAATAAATGTCAGCTCGGCCCATGTGAAAGCCTCACCTTTATTGGGTTGAACAGCTTCGGTCAAGAATTCTGGCACCCTCAGAATGAATGGAAGAGAATTTGAGCACCTTAGAGTGACGGGCTATGGTTAGGTTTGTGACAGGGAGGAAAGCATGATACTGTAGAATCTGAAGGATTCCCAGGAGAAATGGGACTGATGCCTGGGGATGGGCTCAATGATGATTTTATTATCTGGAGCCTCCTCTGCCCTCATCAAACAGAAAAAGCATAAGAAAGAGGGAGAGAACTCAACCGTGTGTTTTCTGTTTATTGGCTTCATCCATTTTGGAATGTATTGACATTCTCTACTGGGTATGAAAATGTGAAAAGCATATACGCACTGCCCCCACTCGCATAGTCCATGAACAGGAATAAATGCAGCTCTCCGCTTCTGTCTTTTGGGGAGAGGGCAGGATTCTAATGAGTACTGAGCACATACCAACCCTGAAACTGGTACAGTCATTCCCCTGAGCAGCATCTCACTTCATTCTCATGGTGCCCCAAGAAGAATATATCGTATCCCTCAGTTCACTGATGAAGAGACCAAAATGTAGAGATGTTATCACAGTGGCAGAGTGACTGCCTAACTCAGAACACAGGGGTCTGCTTTAAGAAATCACAGGGCCAGGTTCAGAGGAAATGCACAGTACATCTCATTGCATGGGAGTTAAACAGAATATTCTTTATTAGACAGCAGACTTTCCAGTAGGCTTAAGTATTTAGAACTGGAAGGTTCTTAATTGTTAGTGAATGTAACCCTCAGTCCTCTCATATTTCCTTATTCTGAGAGAGAAACATCAATGATGAGAGAGAATCATTGATTGGCTGCCTCCTGCATGCCCCCTACTGAGGATCAAGCCCGAAATCCGGGCATGTGCCCTGACCGGGAATCAAACTGTGGCCTCCTGGTTCATAGGTTGACGCTCAACCACTGAGCAACACTGGCCGGGCTGGCTTACTATTTTAGTGTCACTACAAGCTCCTTTCTCCAATCCCTCTCCACCTCCCCCTTCCTAGGTAAGATCTGTTTGTCTCTCCCATCAGACCATTTTGTAGCTTTCTTTTATTTTTTTCCAGATTAGCCAACATTTCCTTTTTTTCTTGTTATTTTAATTTACTTGTTGTCATTGTTGTTGTTGTTAATCCTCACCAGAGGATATTCTTTCCGTTGATTTTTAGAGAGAGAAACATCAATGTGAGTGAGACACACTGGTTGGCTCCTGCACACACCCCTACCAGCCGGGGATCAAACCTGCAACTCAGGTACATGTGACTCTTCAGT